CCTCTCTTCTTTCTCTCATGTCATTATCACACTACCCCCTGAATTCCATCTTCCATCATTTTCCTTCCTGTCCCCCGACTCTTCAGTCCTAAGTCTGCCTTATTTGTCCCCATTTCTGCAGGTCTCCTGGGTCTGCCCTCTCACTGTTCCATTTCCATCACCGCCTCTGTTGCCTCCTCATCTCTTTGGGTCTTTGGTTACAAACATCACAATCCCTGCTGGCTGAATTAGAAACAGGAACAGGATTCTGGGAAGCTCACAGAATCAAGGGAAAAATGAACTTTCCAGGCTCCAGGATGAGCAGGACCAGATTACGCCTGGGGGTCCCAGTCGAAAGTCACAGCCAGTCTGCCTCTCTAGGGAGAACGATCGGATTGGGCCACCCTGGCTGAGGAACAGAATGCTTAATTCACAGGCCCATCTGGACCATGAGGAAAAGGGCAGGGGAAGATTTCCAGAGGAAACCAGGATCCTGGTACCAAAAGAGAGGGGATGCAGAGCAGCTGAGACAACAGCTGTCAGCCACTAACCCACATCTCATGTCTAACTTTCTCCTCTCCATGTCTTTTTTTCCACCATCCTGGCTGAGAAAGATCAGGAAAGTGTTAGTGCAAGAAGTGTCATTGAAATCAGACTGTGAAAGACAGATCAGATTTCAGTCGATGAGAAGAACATGGGGAAGGTCATTCAAGGTGGTAGGGCCAGAATGACCAAGGCGTAGAGGTGAGCATGTGCCACTTGCGGGCAGCTCAGAGAGCACGCTGGATGAGTTCTGGGAGGTAAGAATACAAGGTGAACGTGGACCTCAAACTGTTCCATTAAGGCCTCTACACTGTTGTTCACCCCAGTGTTCCACTTTCCTTGTAATTCATGCTCAGATCCTCCTTTCTCCATCAGAGTTTCCAGATCCAGGGCAGCAGAAGGAGCTCCACTCTTTCTGGAGCTACGCTTTCTCGCGGCGCTTTGCCTGGCACCTGATGTGGCTGTCTATGATACAATTGTGGCATTACCTCTTTATCGGCACCCTCAACTCTCTACTCACCACTTTGGCCAAGGGAGACAGGGCACTAGGTATGTGGCGGGGCTGGGAGGCATCCCATCTGTGCATCCCAGTTGGGGACTTGGAACCTCGAGCGGTGCGGGGTGCTAAGCCCAGTAGGGCTATGTGCTCCAGAGAAAGGTCTGAGCAGGGATGTGGGGAGGATGGTCGGTCAGGGCAGGGTGGGAGGGTCCCCTCCTGTAAGGCAGTCCTGGAAATTTCTTATCTCTCAATGCTTCTCTGCTCTCTGCAGTCAGCATCTACACAAATGCCTTTGCCATCACTCAGTTCTTTGGAGTGCTCTGTGCCCCCTGGAATGGCCTGCTCATGGACCAGCTTAAACAGAGGTACCAGAAGAAAGCGAGCAAGACAGGTGAGACCTGGGCTCGGGAGCATCAGGGAACCAGGAGAGGAGAGATCATTTATCTTCATGCCCATCTTCTCTTTTGTTCTTAATCTTTTTCTACTTGCATCCATCCGTCTATCCCTCCATTCATCCACCCATCCATCCATCTGTCTGTCTAACCACTAGTCGCTGAGTGCCAGTTATGGGCCATACGTAGTCCAGATTCAGCAACGGACAAGACAGATATGTCCTTGTTCTCAGTCTAGAGAGTGGAGAAAGACAAGTCATTAGGCATTACAATCCATGAAGTAAACCCACAGGGGGCTGTGGGGACACAATAAGGGCACATAACCTGTTCCAGATGAGGACGAGATCGGTGTATGGGAAGGCTTCCTGGAGAAAGTGTCATCTAAGCTGAAACCTGAAGGATGAGTCAGAAGTGAGGAGATGAAGAGGAGGGCCCTGGGAGAGTGGCCCAAGAATACGGTGGGCTCAAGGTTGTGAAGGAGAGAGGGAAACGTTGAGGACTCCGAGGACTCCCTTAAAGGGATTCAGTGACTGGCTGGAGGTGTATTGGTTAAGCCTAGCACGCTCTGCTTCGGTGGCCCAGGTTAGTGGGTTTGGATCCCAGGTGTGGACCTACACCACTCATCAGCCCTGCTGCGGTGGCGACCCACATGCAAAATAGAGGAAGATTGGCACAGATGTTAGCTCAGGGCAAATCTTCCTCAGCAACAACTAAACAAAACAAGAAAACAGTAATTCAGGCTGGCCAGGGTACAAAGGAGTATGGAAGGGTCTGGAGAGAGAGCCGTGAGAAGGGGCAGGCTGTGCCCCATGCCGAGGAGCTTGGACAAGCTCCTTGGACATCAGTCGAGGAACAGAGGGGTGCTGAGGTATTTTAACCTGCAGGGGTTGGGGATGCGGAGGGACAAAAGTAGAGAGTAACATTTCTCCTATGACTTTCATCTACACCCCTCCCTGACTCCCCTGCCCTGCTTCTCCTACCCTGCTGGAGTATTCTACAGCAAATCTCAGTCATCAAACCATTTCATCTGTAAATACTTCAGGTTGTACCTCTAACGGATAAGCCCTCTTTTACTTGAATATCACCATAGTATCATCACATCCACAAAAATTCCTCAATGATTTCTTAATACCATCTACTATGCACTCTGCTCAAATTTCCCTAATTGTCTCAAATATGTCTTTTTACAGTTGATTTGTTCAAATTAAGAGCCACACACTATATGTGGTTGATGTGCCTTTTATGTCTTTTAAAATGTATAAGTGTCGTCTTCCACATGCTTTTTGTCCTTGTTTATTTGTTGAAGAAATGGGGTGTTTTGTTCTGTCACATTTCCACATTTTGGATTTGGCATCCTTTTGGTGTCATTTAAAATGTTTGGGTATTTCCTGTAAACACACAGGTTGGAGGCTCAAGGAGCCTCAGTTTAATATTTTTGGCAAGAGTAATTCAGAGGTGGAGCTGTGGGCTTCCTAAGGGCTCCCGTCAGCAGGCCCCTGGTACCTATTGTCCTGTTCTTATCATGTTAAGATTGATCAATGGGCTAAGACATTGTCAGTCTCATCCACTTATTACAAAGTTTCCCATCGACTGTGCGTCTGATGATTGTAGCAGCCGTTGATGATCAATGCCTAGACCCATTAGTTTACTAGGGTTGCCAACTCGTGATTTCCTGTTTCCATCTTTCCTTCTGCTTTCAACAGCGAGAATTCCTTTAGAAAGAAAAACTTCCCCTTATTAACTATTTTGTTACCCTGGGATAAATGCTTGGTTTTTCTTCTTTTTACCAGTTTTGAGAATAATGAATTGATGCCCTAGCAACTTCCAGGGGTGACTACTCATTGTTTCTTTTTCAAAGTCTCATTTTAAATATATTTGATGTGTTTCAATCCATTTTCACCACGATTCTTTTTGATGTTCAAATCGTCACATCTTTGGCCATTGGGAACTTTACCAATCCAGTATCTGTGTCCTTTAGACATCATCCTGTTAGTTTTAGAGAGTGTCTTTACTTTCTAGCACAATGAGATGTTCACGTCCATCTGATCAGGTATGTTTCCTATCCCAGACCTGAAACCAGCCATTTCTCCAAGTAACGCTGGGTCCCTTTAATGGGAAATGGTATTTAAAGACTGTAGTCTGGATGCTAGCATTTCTAATTCTCCTGGGTTGTCATTGCTTTTGGGCTTTGGATAGAGTTAAAGCATACATAATTTTTTGGAAGAAAAAATACATCATAAATGCCTAATAATGATACTTTGATTCAAATTTTACCTCCTTAATTTTAGATTCGTATCTCTTTTTCTCTTCCTCTGAAAATCTTGGTTCCTAACAATACTATACAGACACACACATGTATAGTATTTTAAAAATGTTTTATATATTGTCACTGGTTTTAGCAATATCAACATTATTAATAACAATAGTGTTGCTGAATGCAGTGCCTCTCTCTCTGTGTCCTTCCGTCCTTCCTTCCATTCTCCTCCTTAGCATATATCCCACAAGAGGATGTACAGTCAAATTACTGTTTTAAGAATCACCAACTTGACATAAAGTTATGTTCATTGGTTTCATTTCGTTCCTGATTTTGGAGGATTGCTTTGCTTGTTCTCTTCCTATTATTTTAATTTAATTGAATTTTTAAACATTTGTATATCAAATATTTACATTTTCCCAAAGCCAAAACCATGAAACAGTATACATTCCAAGAAGTTTAGTTTTCCTCTCTGTTCCCTGCACCCTGTTCGTTCACTCTGTCTTTAGGCAATGATCTTTTTCTTAAAGACAGACTATATAGACATAATTTCGCTCTCAGATAAAGGCCACATACTGCACGCCCTGTTCTGCGGTCTTCCTTCTGTGTGACTCTCTGTCCCGAGGATGCTCCCCAGCAGGGCCTTCTCCTCACTCTTCTTACGCTGCCTAGTTATCCGTGACGGGGCTGCAGGACAGCCAGGACAGCTGTCCCTCTGGATGGCTGTTTGGATCACCCCTGTCTTTTGTTAGTACCTGTCGTGCTACACAGAATGCCTGGCTGCAGGTTGCAGGGGCCAGAGCAGGTGGCCCTCTTAGGAGGCCATTGCAATCTGTGTAATCTGTGAGTGAGTGATGGTGGTTTAAAAGTAGGATGAGTTGGTGGGGATGGAGAAGAGTGGATACATTTGAATGATAATTAGGAGGTGGATCATCAACATTCATTGATGGACTGGAGATGGGGCATGTGGGAGAAAGAGGATTCGAGGATGACCCCCTGGGTTTCTGCCTGGAAAGTTAGATGGATGGTGGTTCCTCCCTTTACCCAGATCTCTCTTGCCTCCTTCCTGCCCTCCATTGTGTCCGCCTCCAGGCAGCCTCTCCTCTTTACTTTTGGACCAGGTTTCTCAGTCTCGGCGGTGGCCCTTTGTTCCACGGTTCCTTCTCTGGCGCTGACGTCTCTGCTGTGCCTGGGCTTCGCCCTCTGTGCCTCAGTCCCTGTCCTCCCCCTCCAGTACGTCACCTTCATCCTGCAAGTGATCAGCCGCTCCTTCCTCTATGGAGGCAATGCTGCCTTCCTGACCCTTGCGTAAGTGGGCTTGGGGTGCATTACATAATGGGGGACACATGGGGCAAAGGGAAGCATGCTGGAGGCACAGAAATTGGGAGGTGAGGATGGGCCTGAGATGGTGAGGTGATGGTGACAGGGTCTGGGAGCAGGCGTAGGGGGTGGTGCCTGGAGGTGAGGCTGGCAGGAGGAGTAGAGCTTTCATGTACTTGAGCCTTCGTATCAGCTCTCCCTCTGCCTCTGTTCTCTACCTGGTGAACGCTTATTCACCCTCTGAGGCCCACTTCTGTTCCAACACTCCCAGGGAAGAGATGGAAATAAAGTGTCTTCCCTTATTTGTGCCCTGGGCACTCTATTCCTGCTGCCTTTGATGGTGCACACATCATATGGCATATAGTGATCTGTTTTTGTGTTCATGTTTTTCTCCCAACTTCCCTGGGGTGCAGCGTGTGTCTGGGTCCCTGCTGTTTTCCCACTGTCAAGCACAATAACTTCTCTGTGTTCTGTGGTTTGAAAGCCTGACCAAAGGCAAAGGGGAGAGGGCTGTTTGGGTGAGGGTGGGTGAAGGCAGGCCGAGGACAGGGGAGTTGTGAGCAAGTAGCTGACAAAGGCCCACCCAGATGAGGCCCTGCTTGGAGGGAGGGTCCGTGAGTGTCACTGGAACCCCATTTGTCTCCCTCCCAGTTTCCCTCCGGAACACTTTGGGAAGATCTTCGGGCTAGTGATGGCCTTGTCAGCCATTGTGTCTCTGCTCCAGTTCCCCATCTTCACCTTCATCAAGGGCCCCCTCCAGAATGACCCTTTCTACGTGAGTATTGTGGGCCTCAGACCACCAAGGACATCCAGATTGGGGTGACTCAATGGGCACCCAGCAGGGGGAGCCCCAAATCTGGCTGAAGTATTTCCTGCAGGAACATTGCTGCACACGGGTACATCCTTGGTCTTGCTTCTCAAACTGGGGTCAGTAGGAGCACCCTGCCTTTTGCTGTGGGTACCTGACACCACAGGGCTATCATGGGGTGGCTGCCCAGGGGGCCCACGTTCTTCAGAGATTTGGGAAGAAAATATTTTTTTATGTGTGTGGAGACAAGTAATCATATTCTAGAGGAGAACGCAAAATCCTCACAATGATTCATGAAAACCTAAGACTTCAAAGATATTTCCTGCTTGTGATGAGCACAGGTGGACCTTGGCCTCAGCCCTAGGGATGCAACGTGCATTGGATTCCACAGCTGATCTGAGTGGCAGGAGCTCTGTGCTCTCACCCCTGCATCCCCACACCACCAGGGATGCTCACCCACCCAGCCCTGGGAGGTGGGCGTGACTCTCCAGCTGTTTGAGATAGAAGAAACAGAGGCTCAAAGATTTGGGTTGTGTGACTTCTATGTTCAGAAGCCCACAGCAAAGGAGCAGAAGTCCTTTGACTTTGAATTCAGTGTTCTGACCACTGCACAGCCCTTTAGCCTCATTTTGAAAAGATCAGCAAAGTGTAGAACAGGAGTTTAAATCAGTCATTGGGAGGAAAAAAAAAAAGCCCTGAACTGAAAGACTGAGGAGAATTACTTGGTTGTGATATCGGAGCACCCTAACTGAATATTCAGAAGATATGATGTAGCTCTCGTCCCTCCGTCAGTTTCCTGAGTGACCCTGAGCTGGTCACTGAATGCCGCCTGGGCCTCTCTTTCTTCCTCCGTGAAATGGGCACAATATCCCTCCCCACCTGGCTCCACAGGGTAGAATGAAAAGTAACGCACAGTCCTTCCTCCAGAGTGTCTGAGTGGAAAGTGGAAGATAAACTAGGCGGAATTCTGGTCCCCTCATTGGTCGTGGGCATTGCTCAGAGTTCCTGGACTTCACCTCCCTCCTTCCTGTCTCCCTCCAGGTGAACGTGATGCTGGTGCTTGTCACTCTTCTGACATTCATCCACCCCTTCCTGGTGTACCGTGAGTGCCAGCGGAAAGAAGGCCCCCCTGCAATCGCTTAGTTTGGAAGCCCTCCATTTTCAGCTCTGCAGATGCTTTTGCTAATCTTCCCCTCCCTTTGAGGACCCCGTATCCAGAAAGTCTTTGCTCACTCAGGCTACTTGTATTAAGCAGACATTACTTTTTCTTAAATAAAGAAGACACGTAACTGCTAGCTGAGACTTCTGATAGGCAAGAAAAGAATTTCAATGCCAAGCTGATTGATACCATACGGACCCAAAGCAAAAGCTTGTGGAAGTTCTCCTTAGTTGCAGAGCAGGACGCACATGGCCTTGGCAGACCCTTGACCCGAAGGGAGGTGATGTGATGGGAGAGGAGGTGTGTCACCTGCTTCTCTAGGCCTCTTTGGCCCTGAAGCCCATGTGTGCCTGGGCCCTGTACCACCAGGTAAATTTCCAGGTGGAGGGTGAGGTTGTCATGGCCTCAGCTATGCCCCCTGGCATTTGGAGGTGGTGCCCAGCTCTCCCTCAAAGGCACAGCCTTGGTTAGAGAGTGGCAGTGACAAAGGCTTGGTTAGAGAGTCTTGGGAGACAGAGGAGAGACGGGTTGGGGTGGGGGTGGGGGGGCCCTGGGCCTGAGATCCAGCTCTGCCACTGATGCTGGAGGCCCTTGAGCAGATCCCCCTTGGACTGAGCGTCAGTTTTCCCATCTGTAAAATGAGAGGATTCTGGAGTTGGAGGGTCTTTCTGAAGCTAACAATCTAGAAGGATTTAAGAGGAGTGGCAGAGAATCAGGCCACCCAGAGAGCCTTGGGTACCAGCTGGCCTGCTCGACTGAAGGATTTCTGACAAAGCCTCTTAGGGATGTTTTCCTCAACAAGAAGGGAGATGATGATTGACTTTGGGAATTATATAAAAATGTTCTCGGGAGAAGAATTTTGTAGAACAGTAAAGTCTTTCTGCTTAAAGCAACTACTGTTTCACCACTTCAGGCTTTGGGGATGTTGTGTGTGTGTGTGTGTTCCTGCCCCATGCCCCAGCTTCCTGGGAAGTGGACACAGCAGTGGAGTCCAGGAATCTGGTGGCAGCATCCTGATGTGGGAGCTGGACCCAGAGTGGGGTAGGAGACCTCAGACTGATATCCAGCTACCTGGTTCTAGGATGGGCTTGAGAAGCCCCTCCACCCCTGCACCCTCACCGCCTCCCAGGAGTCCCTTCGTTTGCCTCCTCTTCCTCTGTACCCCATCCCACCCCCATCACAATACTCCACACCCCCAGCTGGAAGCACTAGATGGAATCAGAAGGGCCCTGGGTGAGTCTCAGTTCTGCCACCCAGCAACTGGGCAAGTCCCTTAACCATTCTGGATCACAACTTCCTCACCTGCAAAAAGCAATGAATCATTTCTATCCCTGAGGGCGACAGTGAGAATTTAAAGTAATTGCTACTGCCTAGCCCGTGGTGGGAGCAGGTGCACATTTCTTTCTTCATTTACTCATGACTAGAAAGGAAGGGGTACCAAGAAGGGAGAAGGGGAGGGACCTGGAGGGAGAGAGATGGTAGGTGGGCGAGATGGGACAAACTGGAATACACCAGGTGTTTTCTTCCACTTAGCCTGGAGAGGGCTTGGGAGAGGACAGTGAGGGGGAGGGGGCTGGCAGGCAGATTCATTCATCCAATCAGTCTGTCCATCAACAAATGTTTATGGAGCCTCTACAATGCATCAGGCACTGTCCTAGGTACTGGGGATACAGAGATACACAAGGGGCTGAAACACAGCTCTTCTGTGAACTGCTGGAAGGGTAATTTGCAGGGGCCTGGGGACCTGGGTCTGAAGACAGACATCAGAGTGCTCACGAACGGCTTTCATCTTGTCTTGCTCCAAAACTTTCCACGGCTTCCTGCTGTCCATGGGGCAAGGCTCAGACTCCAGCCTGGCACTCACAGCTCTCAGCAATGTGATTCCAGCCACTCCCCTACCTTCCCCACCCTCTTCACCTCCCACCTCCAGGAGGACAGAATTCATTCTTGTGGACAAAGGTTCCTGGTCTGGGCGTCTGTGAGCACACCAGTTCCTCTGCGTGGTGGCTCCTCCCATCTCTGCCAGGGAAATTTGCCTGGTCTACTGGGGTCCTGTTCAAAATGCCGTCTTCTCTAAAAATCTTTCCTTGGGGTCTCCAACAGCTTTGAGTTCTCGGCACTTGGTCACACCCTTCTTGGTGACTGGCACCTGCCTCCTTGCATGATGACCTCTCCAAACCTGGACAGCAAACTCCAGGAGGCGGCATATGGGTCTTACCTGGCTCAGTGACTAATGCGTGCTTGCTGTCCATGTGGTGCCGGTTAGGGCTCATTGAATGAATGATCACTGAATGAGTGAATTCTTTCTTGTCCTGGCCTCAGTGCCAACTGGAAGGAGAGAGCAGAGCACATGGGGGTGGGATGGGGCAGTGGGAAGAACATGGACTGGGGGGCCAGGCCAACCCTTTTTTCATCCCGGCTCTGTCACTAGTGTGACCTTGGATGGGCCACTTCACCTCTACATCTCAGTTTCTTTATCAGTATAAAGGGAGAAATAGACCTGCCCTCTGGACTGTTGCAAGGATTAGAAATTAGGTCAAGTGCCTAGCACATTGTAGGTACTCAACAGATGATAGCTATGATTGCAGTTAACATATTAAGTCAAAAAGAATGCCTAATGCCCATCAACTGGTGAATGGATAAATCAAATGTAGTCCATTTAGACAATGGAAATTATTTGGCAATAAAAAGGAATGAGGTATTGATACACACTACGACGTGGATGAACCTTGAAAAGATTATGCTAAGTGAAAGAAGCCAGTCGCTAGAGACTGCATACAGTGTGACTCCATTTTTATGAAATGTCCAGATGAGGAACCTCTCTAGAAGCAGAAAGTAGATTAGTGATTGCCTAGAGCTGGGCGGAGTTGGTAGTGAGTGCTAATGGGTAAGGGGTTCTTTTTAGGGTGAGGAAAATTTTCTAAAATTGATAATGAGTGTACAATTCTGAATATGCTAAAACCCATTGAATTGTATACACTTTAAATGGGTGACTTGTATGTGAATATATCTCCATAAAGCCGATACTAAAAAAAGATGTCTGGAAAATTGCCTTAATTTTAATGGTATAGACAAGATCAATATATTTTCCTTGAGTTTTAGTTTGAGAAATAGAATGGGATATTTTAAAATCATTGTGGTACATTTAAATACATTGAATTTAAATCAGAATTACCATTTTCTTAGAAAAGTATCATTGGATTAAAAAAGATAAAAAATTGTGCTAAAAACTTCAAAAAAGGAAAAAGATGTCTGGATTCCTCAGCAAGTGCAGGAAACACTTGGATCCAGAGAGAGAGAAGCGCAGCTGTGTGCACAGCCGCCTCTTTCTGCCCCAAGAGCCCCTTGCTGCAACTTCTTCCTCAGATGGGACCAACTGCTCTTTTAAATGAGGAAGCAAGCAACAGGGGTTTCACAAGTTTTGGGTTCCTGGTGCAACCCTCCTCTCCAGCTCCAGCCTCAGCAGAGAGGAACTGGAGGCAAGTCTCCTCCTCCACAGGCCGTGGTGCCAGGCGGGGCCTCTCCTGGGGCAGAGGACACTTCCATGAGGAGCAGAGTGCCTGCCATTTAAAGAACAGCTGGACAAGTAGAATAAAATAAACAACAGCTGACAGCCGGAATCAGGAACTCTGTGTGACAATCTCCTTTCACCTGCCGCATTTTACAGATGAGGAGAGTTAGGCTCTGAGAGGCAAGTTATGTCCAAGAGCATCTGTCTGGTGCATTGTGGAGCTGGCGTTTAGACCCAGATTTGTCTGTCTCCTAAGGTCACGTTCATTTTAGGTGTTACCTTCTCTTTACATTCATTCTTACGTCAGAAACATGTGGTGGTTGTAAAAGAAGTCAGAAAACAAAGAAGTGCATGAAAAACAAATATCATTGTTAACTGCACTGCTCAGAAATGACCATGGTTAACAGGTTGGTATGTTTGCCCCTCGCCATGTGACTATGTGTGTGATAAGGGAAACGATCTCATAAACTTTTCTTTGCCATCACATAGTCCTTCAAAACGTGATTGTCAGTGGCTCCTTACAAGCCTATCTTAGGGCGATGTCACATTTTATTTATCCCCCAGCCACCCCGTCCTGGGGGCTCCCCTCACTCACATCTTGGGACATTGGGCCTAGCCGTTCTGTTCCCCCTCTGCTGCCTGAGCTGGCGTGGGGGGTGCCTCCTGACGGTGAACCATGAGCAGCCTAGGTCAGCACACTGGAGAGTGTGCCTAATAATAGAACTCAGGGGGCCAGATGTTGCCAGAGAGCCACCTTTGGAGCTTCTAGAGATGACGTCCATCCATTCATCATCATCTGTGAATCTGGTGCTAGCTGTTGTTCAGCCAAAGGTGTTGGCTGCCCGCTTCCCAGGTGCTGTCGACCCTCTTACCTAAATTTAAAGCTTGGGGCAAAGACCCCAGTGGTTCTTCCTGGAGCTCCTCTTCCTGCCAGACCCCCAGGGGATAGATGATCCCCAAATGTGCTGGGTGTGACTCCAGGGCACAGAGAGGGTGCCTCCTCTAACATTCTTTGGAAAAGACACTGCATCCAGGTATCAAGGCACGGGCTCCTATCCGTCCGTTCTTTGGCGATGACAATTTCCTGGGTGGGACACGTCTGACCCCTCCTGGGCACACTGCAACCCACGTCTCTGTGCACAGTGGGGCTGACTTAATGACAGGTTCATTAAACCCAGGACCACAGCTTGTGGTCTCACCAGCCCCCACTCCAGGGGTTTTGATTTTTTTTTTCTAACCTCAAACATCTGCTTATCGGCCTCTCAGCATTCTGTTTCCTGAGTCCAATGTTCCCTCCCAGGCCTGAAGGTGGACTCAAGCAGTAGGTTCATGGGAAAGGCTCCGGGCTTTGCAAGTGCTGACCAGCTGCGTGACCTTGAAGAAACCCTTAATCACATGGAGCCTCAGTTTCCTCCCCTGTAATAGAGATAATAAGTACCACGGGGACTTGTGGGGAGGACCAGAGAGAACATTTGAGAATAAAAGGTGGAGGCAGCTCGGGCTCTGCAGCTGGACTGTCCAAAACCAACCTCCAGCTCTTCCCCACACAAGGTCTGAGCTTAGATTCACGGTGCCTCAGTTTCCTCATCTGTAAAATGGGGATAACGGTAGAACTACATCATGGAGTTGTAAGGGTTAAGTCAATCAGTGAACGTAAATCACTTCAAACAGGACATTCACACCACCTGACATGTGTGACTGTGGATGTTATCGGTACCATCTGAGATCCCCTGAGGGGAGGGCAGCACAAGGTGTATCTACATTTCACTCCTGGTGGAGCCTGGAATGTCACCACCTGGTTCAGGACAGAAACCACTCTGCAGGCATCTGCCCAAGCTGTTTTTTCCGTAACAAAACAGCCTAGATTCTCTTGTAGCCTTTAGAATGGGAACATTACGAAGGCAAAAAAAAGACTTTCTAATTACCCCAAATCTTAAGCCAAAGTCAATGAAAAACATCAACTTCATATCCAATTTTTGTACTACTCTGTTTCTCCAGGAGTCAGTGCAGAAAAGCCGTGATCACAGAAGTGACAATCACCATGGGTGGGGCTGTGCATTCCTTCAGGAGCCAGGGGCTTGGGGCCAGAGATGGCTGGGGCTACGGAAGAGGACAGTCAGGCAGCCCCGCGTCTCCTTCTCACCTTCTCAGGCTGCTTGTCCTTGACCGAGTCATAGCCGCTCAGTTGCCTTTGTCTCCTCACCTGAAATGGGGGTATGAAGCCCACCTCAGAGAATAGTAAGGATAAATGAGACTCCACATGAACAGCGCTTGGCCCTGGCACGCACACGATAGGTCCTCAGTTAAGGGCAGCTATTAATTTTTATTATATGTACAAAGTCACATTAAATCTCAAGGGCACCATTTAAAAGTGAA